TAAAACATTTAATATTTAATCAAATAACAAAAAATAAAAAGTCATTTTGCTGTGTTTTTATGATACAATTGTAATAATTGTTTGTCTTTTTTAAATCTATATGTCCATAAATAAAATAATTGTTAATTTACAAAATATTGAAAAAAATCAATTATTTCATAACAGCTACAGCATTTCTCATTTTTATTTAGTTAAACTTGATGTACTAAAATAACTCAAAATAAATCTGAAATAAAGAAGGTTGAAGTGTGATTGGCATTACTTCAAGTGATTATTTAATGAACAGTTGATCATAAGATATAAAGTGAAAGGATGATTTCTCCATCATATGCACGCTGTATATCACGATGATGGACGTTTTCATGACAGGCTTTCATTACAGGGTTTTAATGCAGACTAAACGCTCGTATCAGCCGCTTTTTCTTCCACATGACGCTGAAAATTACTGAGACTGGAAATATACTGTTTTAATGAAGAACACCTACCATGTTTTATTTTGGTCTTCGTACACTTTAAGAAGCGCTTTAAGGCGTCCGTGTACGAGTGTAATTCACACTAATTATGCCTACAACGTCCTAACATCTGAACTTTTATCTTCAGATGGTTTCTGATTTGACTTCTGATGCTGACGGATTGATAGACAGCGCGTCTCAGTTTCATCTCCTGGACGATGTTCACTCGATGGCTTTTAAATGGACAGTAATGAGTGCAATTATGGTTAAAAGGTTAAAGATCCGTTCTCTAGTCCTGTAAAGGTGTTGTTCTCTTGTGCTTCAGCTGCTTTTGCCGTTTCCAGAGCGAGTCGTGACGGTGAAACAAGACGTCCTGAACATCTGATAGAGGACTTAAAAAGAACATCTCAGCCTCATAAAGTGGCTCACATACATTTACAATACAGCTGAATATAGCCCAGATCTGACATGTGAGGAATTCGTCTGGGAATTTTAATACTAAATATCCAATTGAATATGACATTTCCAATGAATTCATAAAGTTGGCAATTATTGGGAATTATTTCCAGAGTTTACAAGTTGCAGTTAATTTTGCAATTAAGGTCTGGACCATTTATATTTATATTTGTGTATGTATGTATGTATGTGTGTATGTATGCATGTATATGTATGCATGTATGTGAATGTATATGTATGTATGTATGTATGTATGTATGCATGTATATATATGCATGTATGTATGTATGTATGTATGTATATATGCATGTATGTATGTATATATATATATATATATATATATATATATATAATATATAAGACATGTTTTGCTCATTTTGCTTGGTTTCTGTCTCTGTATTGTTGTGCTGGGTAGCTCCGCCCACAGTGAAATTTCATTGGTCCAAAATCCTGACGCTTTATATTGAACACCAAACATGTTCTGATTGGCTGAGATTGTTGCTTTCAGTGTGAATGGATGAATTACTCGTCATTGGACACTTCTTGTTATCTGAAATGTATTCGAGTGCTGAACTTTCCGTCTTCTGTGACAATCAAAGTCCTGCGATACACAACAACAGGCCGTCAGCTCTGGGAAAAGCCTCTGGAGTCTTCATGTTTATGGCTGTTTCGCTCTCTGATAGGCCGCTTCTGATCGCCGCCTGATTTTCAGATTTTAATAATGAGCTCAATCGGCTGTGTTCAGCCGTCTCTCTCGCTGACTGCGTCGCATGAATGTGCTCTTGTGCCGCTGCTTAATCAAACATGTTTCCTGGCTCCGGCTCTCGCGGGAAATCTGCTATTAGCTCGGATGTGTGGCGTCTGTGTGGGCGCCTGAACCGCTCGAATGCATCGCACAAACACATATGAGTCACCCTTCAACACACTTCTGCTCGAGTCTGTGTCATACTTCAGACCAGGGGTTTTCAAAGTGAGGGCCCCAAGGGAGCCGAAAAATTTAGAGAACCACAGTGTAAAATTTTTTTTTTAAATTAATTAATAAAAATAAATAAATAATAAAAATACATTTAGAATTAATAAATAAATATATTAAATACATTAATAATATAAATAAATGAAATAAAACAAATAAAAAATAAAATCAATAAATAATTAAAAAATTATTTAAAATGAATGAATACATACAAAAGTAAATAAATATATAAATAGATTAATATTAAAAAAACTCAAATAAAATGTAAATAAATAATAAAAATAGATTTAAAATAAATAAGTTTAAATAAATAAATAAAAATTTGCATAAAATATAAAAGATGGAATAAAATAAAATTTGGAATAAATAAAGAAATAACAAAATAGATTAAAATCAATAAATAATACAAATTAAAATAAATAGATTGCTTTAAACAAATAAAAAAATAAAAATGAGATTAAAATCAGTAAATAATAAAAAGATTTAAAATAAATGAATAAAATAATATAACAATGATAATAGAAATTAAAATAAATATATAATGATTAGATTTTAAATAAATAATTGTTTTTAAAATAAATAATTAAATGGATTAAAATAAATAATAAAAAAATAGAATAAAATCAATCAATAAATAATAAAAATAGATTTAAATATGGCCCAATGTACAATAATAATATAAAGGAATTTTTCAATTTGATTTTTCACAGGTATTTTACCCGTATTTTGAATTATGCATTGAATTATGTTGTATTTTAGGGTTGAAGGAAATCTCCTGGTAACGGAAAATGCACTGGTAATTTTCTGCCAGGACTTACAATGTAACAAAAACTAAATATAATATTTAATGGAAAGAATATTTGACATATTTATAAAAAAAACATTTTTAAAATTCATTTCAAGATGAGGGTCCCTCGCACCCATGTTCATCTAAAGGCTTGAAAAGCCCTGTGTTAGACAGTACGTCAGCGGAGTAAGTGTGGCTGTATATCAGACGAGGCCACACTTATGTCAGTATCGTGCGGCTGGGTGCGCGGCGGCCTGTCGGACCCTAAAAGGGGTGTGAGGTGAAGCGGAGGCGCAGTCGACCGGTGCAACACCTTCACTGCGAGCCTCTTCACCTGCTTATCAACTCCACAAGAGCAAAGTGTCCACGAGCCCGGTCTCTGAACACCTCGCACCGGGGTATTTTTAGCAGGAGTGCGGACAGAGCTCTGGGAAAACACAGCCATCTGAACTTGGCTTTGTTGGAGCAAACCCTCAGACGTGGCATAGCCTCTGAAAGTCAGACAGTTCCCTGACGTGAAGAGGCTGATCGCTGTTGTACTGTACGGTTGTCAACATTCAACTCTGTACCAGATGTTTCACTAAAAAGTCTTAATAGACACAAACGAGTCGACAGTTGACGTACAGTAACACCGTGTCCTAACTAGAGGCAATGCAATAATGCAATGAGGATGATTTGTTGATCAATTGTTATAATTCTGCAGCGTTGCACTGAGTAGCCCCGCCCACCCTGAAATCTGATTGGTTGAACACTAAACATCAAATGTAGTCTGATTGGCTGTGATTGTGTCGCATTGCACAGAAGTCTGGAATAGTGATATTTTGGTACCTTTGAGATAGTATTAAAATTTTAATATTTTGAATTGGTTTTTATTTGTACATTTTTCATTTTGATTTTAGCTAAAGTTTTAGTAATTTTATTGTGTATTTTTGTCAGTTTTTTTCATATGTATTTTTTTAATGTTTTTTTTTATAAATTTTTATTTCAGTTTTATTTTTAGTTATTTTAGTACTTCAACTTAAACTAAATAAGAAATCTTGCCTTGGCAAATAAAATAAAATAAAATAAAATAAAATAAAATAAAATAAAATAAAATAAAATAAAATAAAATAAAATAAAATAAAATAAAATAAAATAAAATAAAATAAGATAAGATAAGATAAGATAAGATAAGATAAGATAAGATAAGATAAGATAAGATAAGATAAGATAAGATAAGATAAGATAAAATAATAATTATATAACTTTTTTTGTAAATGGTTGTAGTTTTATTTTCAGCCAAATAGCTGAAATGGCAAAAAGCTTTTTATAAAAACAATAAAATAAAATAAAATAATGAATTTTTTTTTTTTTTTTTTGTAAGCAAGAAAATGTGTAGGTTTTTATTTTATTTTAATTATTTTTTTTAGGTTTTAGTTTCAGTCAACTACAATATCCCTAGTTTGGAAACCCAAGTCTGTTTAGGATACAGTAAAAATGTATAATTTATATAATTATTGTGGATTGAATAGCTCGAATAATCTGACTTTGATTGTAGACTTTCTTCCATTTGCTCTCCATGTATTCTCATTGCTATCTACAAGAAACAAATGAGATAATTTGTATTTTTCTAAGCTAGTTATGTCATGCATTATTCCTTCTTGCTGAAAGTTTAGGCTCCTGACTTTAAAAATAAATGCACAATATCTTTATCTTACAACAAAGCTTCAGAAATGTTGTTATATTCCTCATACTGTAGTTGTTGGTATATAAACGCTCATTCACAATCAGTGCAGACGTGCAGAACTCAGCATGTCACCTTCAGCGGCAGCAGAAAGGATATGAGTGTACTAAAATCCTTATTGATGCTCTTCTAACGAGATGAAAAGGGCTAAAAATATAGAGTGCAGACGTGGCACTAAACCGGAAGATGGCCTTCCCTTTGTTCAGTACTATAAAAGTCTGTTGAGAAAGAAGAGAAAGGTTAGTTAACGCAACAAAAACTCAGCAGTGACATTTAATATCAAACACAACATGAACCTCAAACATTTCTGAAACACGAGCAGGAGGAATTTCTGTAAATGGCTTATTGAACCATATGCACAATATGCTCCTGTTTCATAAATGATGCCCAATATGATGTCCGCTTCTGTAAATGAATATTTGCAACACATTTCAAGAGGACATAAAACGTTTTTCAAATTTTCTAAATAAGTCTTATATGCTCCCCAAGCCTGCATTAATTTGATCAAAAATCGGTGTAAAAATAGATAGATAGATCAAACAGATCGAATAGATACAAAAATGCATAAATAAAAATACAATTAAACTAACTAAATAAATAGATTAAAACAAACAAGCAAAGAACCAAACAATAAGAAATGGATTAAAATCAATCATCAAATAATAAAAAATAAATATATAATAAATACATAAAAACTAGATTTAAAATAAACAGATTAACATAAATAAATAAATAAATTTAGAATTAAATAATTAAATAACAATTACATTTAAAACAAACAAACAAATAAATAAATAAAATCTATAAATTAATATAAAAAAATCAATATAATAAAATCAATAAATTTTATAAAATAAAGAAAACAAACACTTTCTGCCGTCTCAGTCTTGAACAGGAGCGCTTCACACAATCTAAGAAAAAAAGGTACAAAAACTGTCACTGGGGCGGTACCTTTTCAAAAAGGACACTTTTGTACTTTTTAGGTACTAATATGTACACTTTAGGTACTTATATTTATCTTTAAGGTACCAATATGGACTCTTTAGGTACAAAGGTGTGCCTTTTGAAAAGGTACCGCCCCAGTGACAGCTTTTGTAGCCTGCATTAATTTGATCAAAAATCGGTGTAAAAATAGATAGATAGATCAAACAGATCGAATAGATACAAAAATGCATAAATAAAAATACAATTAAACTAACTAAATAAATAGATTAAAACAAACAAGCAAAGAAGCAAACAATAAGAAATGGATTAAAATCAATCATCAAATAATAAAAAATAAATATAAAATAAATACATAAAAACTAGATTTAAAATAAACAGATTAACATAAATAAATAAATAAATTTAGAATTAAATAATTAAATAACAATTACATTTAAAACAAACAAACAAATAAATAAATAAAATCTATAAATTAATATAAAAAAATCAATATAATAAAATCAATAAATAATACCAATTAGATTTTAAATACATAAATCCATTACAAATGGTAATGTAAAAATGGTAATAAATCTGATTACAATCCAAAATAACTGTTATCTATTTGAATTTATTTTTAAATATAAAATGTGACCCTGGAGCACAAAACCAGTCATAAGGGTAAATTTTTCAAAATTGAGATTTATGCATCATATGAAAGCTGAATAAATAAGCTTTCCATTGATGTATGGTTTGTTAGGATCGGACAATATTTGAAAATCTGGAATCTGAGGGTGCAAAAAAATCTAAATATTGAGAAAATCATCTTTAAAGTTGT